ACAGCCCGGCCTGCTTTTTTGTTGCGATGGAAGCATGCCTGGGGATTTGCTGCGGAGTGAGATCCCTGCCAGATGCAGGACGGCGAGAGGCCGGCAGCAAGGCCCCTGGCACGACGCGGCCCTCCGCGTCCTCCGCGGGCTACCGCCATATGGCACACTCGCGGGCCCGAGGGTCCTCCTCCTCCTCCTCCTCCTCCTCCTCCTCCTCCTCCTCCTCCTCCTCAAGGACTCTCGAGAACGTGGCCGCTCCACCGGAGGCACCCTCGAAGCATCGGTTTCGGAGGAGGCTCCTGTCTCGGAGGAGGCGGAGGAGAAGGCGGAGGAGGAGGAGAGTCTCGTGTCGGATATCCTGGGAGCTCTGTCTCGGAGGAGGAGGTGGAGGAGGAGGAGGAGGCGGAGGAGAAGGCGGAGGAGGAGGAGAGTCTTGCGTCGGGCATCCTGGGAGCTCTGCCTCGGAGGAGGCTCCTGTTTGCCGAGGGAGCGCGACCACCAGAGCGCGATGCCTCGGACCCCCAGGGCCGCCTGTTGGCTCCTGAGGGGACGCCAAGATGGCCTTCAGACCACCTACAACGAGTGGTGCCGACCCTCGTCGAAGCCGTACCCCGAACACCCACTGATTGCGAAATCTGCGCGCATCGGCGCCCTCGGCCACACATCGGCGATGCCTCGGCGACGTCAGCGATGCATCGGCGCAGTCGACGTGGAGCAAGCCACGTCGCCGATGCATTGGCGGCGGTGGACAAACCTCCCTTTAGTAAACCTCCCATTAGTGAAAACGGCCTGGCACCGAAACCGACGGATCTGGACCCGCAAAAATGACGGCCGCGACGCCCTCTCGCGAACCGAAAACGGCCAATTCCTTAATCGACGTGTCAGGGGAGGAGGCCTGTCCACCCTCCGACCCGATCTGCTCGGACCCCATCTGGGGGGCCCAGAGAGGCGGGCCCCGGGGCCGTCCAAGGGGGGGGGGCGCCAGAGAGGGGGGGCCGCACATCACGGCCCGAAGCGTGTGTGCGGCCCAGGGGTGGCCGAGGGGCGTATCGATAGGACCAAGAGGCGCACGAAGATCTGGGAGTTAGTATGGGACCCACCATGACATACACCCCCCCTAATCGTCGCCCCCCTCTTCGACGCCTGGCGGTTTCTGGCCCATGACTCGGGCCTCCGGCGTCCGCTCGGGACGACCAGGGCATCCCCGGAACGCTCTCGACGAGGCGCAATCGCTGGGAAGCATCCCGCGGCTGGAAAACATGATTACAAGAACCGACGAAAACGCCCGAAAACTTCGAACCTCGAATCCGAGAGCCCCTCCTAATCACCACCGGCCCCCGCTTGACCGGCCCCGCGGGGCGGCTGCGGGCCCCCTGGAGGCCGTCCGGGATCCCGTCGCGGTTCAGGTCCACGCCGGTCACGTGGACCGTCGAGATGCGGGGCTGGGGGGCCTCTCGGCGTTTGCGCGCCGCGGCGCTCACCCCACGAAAAGGAGATCGACTATAGGATTTTTGCCCCAGGATTCCTTCTTTTGTCGAACCTACGACGAAGATGCGCAGAATGCCCGTAGATCCGGGAGCATTCTGCGAATCTGTTCGCCCACTCGCCCAAAAGAACAAGTCTGGGGTTAATCAATGCCGTCGTCGATCTCTCACTCGAAGGCCCCGCGTGCCCGCGACGGGGAGCGGGGCGAGGCCCAGGGGGGGACCGGCTCGAGACTCGAACGCTGGCACTTTTGCCAAACATGCTGTGGTGCTGGGTCCTCTTCCTCCTCCTCCGCCTCCTCCTCCGCCTCCTCCGCCTCCTCCTCTTCCTCCGCCTCCGCTTCCGCCTCCGCTTCCGCCTCCTCCTCCTCCTCCTCCTCCTCCTCCTCCTCCTCCTCCTCCGCCTCCGCCTCCGCCTCCGCCTCCGCCTCCTCCGCCTCCGCCACCGCCACCGCCTCCTCCTCCTCCTTTTCCTTCTCCATCTCCTTTTCCTTTTCCTTCTCCTTCTCCTTCTCCTCCTCCTTATCCTTCTCCTTTTCCTCTTCCGTCTCCTTCTCCATCTCTTGGTCCTCCTCCTCCTCCTCCTCCAGCTACACCTCCGCCTCCTTTTCCTCCTCCTCCTCCTCACCCTCCTCCTCCTCCTCCTCGTCTTCGTCTTCGTCCTCGTCCTCGTCCACCTCCTCGTTCTTGTCCTCGTCCTCCTCGTCCTCCTCCTCATCGTCCTCCTCCTCGTCCTCGTCCTCGTCCTCGTCCTCCTCGTCCTCCTCCTCCTCGTCATCCTCCTAGTATTAGTGCGACTCGTGTTCGTAATATTCGTGTTACTCTCATTCTTAATATTGTTCGTAGTACGATTCGGATTATTATTATTGGTATGTTTAGTAAGTTCCTTATTATGTTCAGTCTTAGTGCTCGTACTGATAGGCTTATAGCTATGAGTCGTGTTAATATTCGTATTAGCCGTCGCCTCCTTACTATTACTAATACTCGTATATGCTATCCGTAGGTGTATGATTCCCATTAGTGTTATTATTCTTCTTCTTCGTATTATTATTATCAGTATTACTAATATCATTAGTATTAGTATTCGTATTAGTCGTATGCGAACGTTTCGTCTCCTCATTCGTAGTGTTATTACGTTTGTATTCGTAGTATCGTTATGATTGCTGGTCGGTTTTGTCGTCCTCGTCTTCGTCGCCGTCTGCTTACTGGTATTCGTAGTATTCGTATTCGTCGTCGCGTTCGGCTTCGTAATATTGATATAAGTCGCCTTACTATACATATGATTAATCACACTAGTTTTCTTCATCTTAACAGTATTATCATGTCTATGAGTATTGATAGTGTTCGCAGTATTGGCGTGCGCATTACTATTCGTACGAGTACCCATCTTAATAGTATCCTTATTATTGATAATAGTGACCGTCTGATTCGTCATCGTGTTCCTTCTATTCCTCGTACCCCCCTTCTTCATATGATTCAGATGTTTCAACTTATTCATCGTCGTTCTCGTCGTCATATTTTTCCTCTTCGTCATGTTCATATTCGTATTCCTTGTCGTCCTCGTGTTCCTCGTCTTCCTCGTCTTCCTCGTCGTCCTCGTCGTCCTCGTCTTCCTCTTCTCCCTCTTCGTTCTCGTCTTCCTCTTCCTCTTCCTCCTCCTCATCATCATCTGCCTCCTCATCCTCATCCTCCTCCTCTTTCTCCTCCTCCTCCGACTCCTCCTGCTCCTCCTCCTCCTCCTCCTCCTCATCCTCCTCCTCTTCCTCCTCTTCCTCCTCTTCCTCCTATTCTCCCCCTCATCTGCCTCCTCCACCTCCTCCGCCTCCTCCTCCTCCGCCTCCCATCCTCCTCCTCCGCCTCCCATCTCGCTCCCCCTGCCTCCTCCTCCCCTCTGTCACTTCCTGCTCCCGGCCTGCTGCTCCTCATCCTTCCTCTCCTAATCCGCCTCCTCCGACTCCTCCGCCTACCCATCCTCCTACTCCTCCTCCTCCTCCTCCTCCTCCTCCTCCTTTTTTATTTTTGGGTTTTTTATGGGGGGGGGGGGGGGGGGGTGGGGATTGTGGGTGGTAGAGGTGCCCGCCTCCCTCCTCCTCCTCATCCCCCTCGCTCCTCCTCCTCCTCCCGCCCTCCTCCTCCTCCTCCTCCTCCTCTTCCTCCTCCTCCGCCTCCGCTTCCGCATCCCCCCCCCCCCCCCCCCCTCCTCCTCCTCCCCCACCTGCTCCTCCTCCTCCCCCTCCCTCCTCCTCCTCCGCCTTGTCATCTTCCTCCTCCTCCTCCTCCTCCTTCTAATCATCCTCATCCCGCCTCATCCTGCTCCTCCGCCTCCTCCCTCATCCTCCTGCTGCATCTTCCTCCTCTTCCTCCTCCTGGGTCCTTCCCTCCTCCTCCTCCTCCTCCCCTCATTCTCTCCTCCTTCTCCTCCTCCTCCTCCTCCTCCTCCTCCTCCTCCTCCTCCCCTTCCTCCTCCTCTCCTTATTATTTATTCGTCGTATTAGTATTAGGATTCGTCTTCTTCGTAGTATTAATAGTATTAGTAAGTGTGTTATTCTTCTTCGCATCAATATCATTCGTATTAATATTAGTCGTCTCATTCTTCTTGCCTCAGCATCAACATCAGCATCGTCATCATCAGCATCAGCAGCAGCATCACCATCACCATCATCACTATTCATCCTCATCAGCATCACCATCATCATCAGCAGCATCATCAGCATCATCATCAGCATCATCATCATCATCATCATCATCATCATCATCATCATCATCATCATCATCAGCATCATCATCATCATCATCATCATCATCATCATCATCATCATCATCATCATCATCATCATCATCACCGTCATCGTCATCGTCATCGTCTTCGTCCTCCTCCTCCCCCTTGCCTCCTCTTCGTCTTCATCATCTTACGTATCATGAGTACTGTCAGTATTCCTCATCTTCGTCCTCCGCATCCTCCGCATCCTGGTCGTCCTGCTCCTCATCATCCTCCTCCTCCTCTTCCACCTCCTCCTCCTCCTCCGCCTCCTGTCCATCCTCGTCCTCCGCCTCCTCCGCCTCCTCCGCGTGCTCCGCCTCCGTCTCATCATCATAATCAGCATCAGCATCCTCATCCTCATCATCAGCATCATCATCATCATCATCATCATCATCATCATCATCATCATCATCATCATCATCATCATCATCATCATCATCATCACCATCATCATCATCATCATCATCAGCAGCAGCAGCATGATCATCATCATCATCATCATCATCATCATCATCATCATCATCATCAGCATCATCAGCATCATCATCATCATCATCACCATCATCATCAGCATCACCACCATCATCATCAACAACATCGACATCATCATCATCAGCCTCATCATCATCAGCATCATCATCATCATCATCAGTATCACCATCATCATCATCTTCATCAGCATCATCATCATCATGATCATCATCATCATCATCATCATCATCATCGCCATCATCATCATCATCAGCATCGCCATCAGCATCATCACAATCATCATCAGCATCAGCATCAGCATCGTCATCAGCATCATCGTCCGCGTCATCATCATCATCAGCATCAGCATCAGCATCATCATCATCATCATCAGCATCATCATCATCACCATCGTCATGATCGTCGCCATCATCAGCAGCATCACCAGCAGCATCATCAACATCGTCATCATCATCAGCATCAGCATCATCATCAGCATCAAACTCAGCAGCATCATCGTCATCATCATCATCATCAGCAGCAGCAGCATGAGCATCAGCATCAGCATCATCATCATCAGCATCATCTGCATCATCATCATCATCACCATCATCAGCAGCAGCATCAACATCATCATCCTCCTCGTCCTCCGCCTCAGCCTCCTCCTCCTCTTCCTCCTTCCCCTCCTCCAACTCATGATCCTTCTCCTCATCGTCCTCCTCATCAGCATCATCAGCATCATCATCGTCATCATCAGCAGCAGCATCATTAGCATCATCATCAGCATCAGCATTAGCAGCATCATCGTCATCAGCAGCAGCATCATCCTCATTATCATCAGCATCATCATCACCAGCATCATCATCACCACCATCATCATCATCACCAGTCGTCATCATCATCGCCATCATCAGCATCGCCATCATCATCATCATCGTCATCATCAGCATCATCATCAGCATCATCATCATCAGCATCATTATCATCATGGTCAGCATCATCATACTCATCATCAGCATCAGCATCAGCATCATCATGATCGTCCTCCTCCTCAACGTCATGCTCATCCTCATTCTCCTCCGCATCCTCCTCCTCGTCCTCCTCCTCCTCCTCCTCTTCCTCTTCCTCCTTCTCATCCTCCTCCTCCTCCTCATGCTCCTCTTCCTCCTCCTCCTCTTCGACCTCCTCGTCCCCTTCCCCCTCCTCCCTCCTCCCTCCTCCTCCCTCCTCCCTCCTCCCTTCTCCTTCATCCCTCCTACCTCCTCTTTCCTCCCTCCTTCCTCCTCCCTCCCCTCCCCTCCTCCCCCTCCTCCCCCTCCCTCCGCATCCCTCCTCCCTCCTAACTCCTCACTCCTCCTTCCTTCCTCCTCCTCCCTCCTCCCTCATCCTCCCCTCCTCCTCCACCTCCTCATCCTCCTCCACATCCTCCCTCTTCCTAGCTCCTCCTCCTCCTCTCTCCTCCTCCTCCTCCTCCTCCTCCTGCCTCCTCCTCCTCCTGCTCCTCTCCTCCTCCTTCCTCCTCCTCCTCCTCCTGCTCCTCCCTGCTCCTCCTGCGTGCTCCTCCTCCTCCTCCGCTCCTCGCTCCTTCTTCCTCCTCCTCCTCCGCCTCCTCCTCCTCCTCCTCCTGCTCCTCCCGCCGCCGCGCGCCTCCGCCTCCGCTTGCCTCTCCCGCCTTCGCGTCCGCCTCGAATCCGCCTCCGCCTCCGCCTCCGCCTCCGCCTCCGCCTCCGCCTCC